GCTTCCATGTTTGCACCCCGCCTTGTAAGCAGCCCAGCCTTCCAGCACTTCTCCTCGTCCGTCCGTTCCCCCCCTCCCGTGTGTGTGTGTGTGTGTGTGTGTGTGTGTGTGTGTGTGTGTGTGTGTGGCAGCTGTGGAGAGTACTCTGTCAGCCAAGCGCTTCCATCCCAAGAACCAGGATTGAAGAAAGGAGAAAAAAAAAAACAAAAACAAAAACAAAAAACCAGGCATGGTGCATACACAACTCAGCACTGGGGAAGCAGAGACGGCCTGAGAGGCTACTGGCCAGCCGGCTTCCAGGGCAGTGAGACCTGGTCTCAAAAAACATGCTGCACAGCTTCTGAAGAATGACACTGAGGTGCCCTTTGGCTGCCACACACACACACACACACACAGATACAGATACACAGACACACAAAGAGACACACACAGACACACACAGATACACACACACACACAGAGACACACACACACAGACACACACAGAGACACACACACACACACACACACAGAGACACACACACACAGAAGAGAGGAAAGAAAAGAGGGCATCTTAGTTATGGTCACTGTTGCTGGGACAAAACACCACAGCCAATAGCAAGTTGGGAGGAAAGGGTTTATGTGACTTACATGTCAGCATCGTTGTTCATCACTGGAGGAGGTCAGGACAGGAACTCACACAGGGCAGGGACCTGGAGGCAGGAGCTGATGCAGAGGCCATGGAGGGTTCTGCTTACTGGCTTGCTCCTTACAAAGCCTGCTTTTCTATAGAACCCAGGACCACCACCGGCCCAGGGATGGCCCCACCCACTATGGGCTGGCCTCCCCCATCAGTCACTAATTAAGAAAATGCTCTTCAGGCTTGCCTACAGCCCAATCTTAGGGAAGCATTTCCTCAATTGGGGTTCCCATTTCTCAGATGGCTCTAGCTTGTGTCCATGAAACACCCAGGACATGCCATAAGTGGCTTGTGGATGATGGGAGAGGTACCCTTCCGGGGTGCAGCTGCCTCCCCTGCGAAAGGCCCCCATTGCAGGCCTGGCCATGTCCTGCTCCAGCAGGGAGATCTGCATTGAAAACGACTGAAATTATGGGTGTTTTGTTTTTAATCCATCTATGTAACTCATTGGCATCAGAAGACTCAACTATTGAATAGAAACAATTTCCCCCTTCTCCCGTGTTCACGGATGCTCTGCATTCTACTTGAACTGAAGAGTTGTGAATCAATGGCTTGGAATTTCTCCCTTGTGTTTTGATTGGGAAAAACTCTAAGGATGCTTGGATGTAGTAGCTTAAAGGGATATTATGAACTGAATTTACACTCTTGAACTCCCCTGTGAGGAAAGAGAAGGAAAAATCCCATGGTAGGAAAAGTTACAAACCGTAGGATTATCTGTCCTAAAGCCATCATTCAGACGGAGACCCTATTTTTGTTGTCATTTTCTTAAGTCAGGGTTTCTCTGTGCAGCTGGCTGTCCTGGAACTCACTTTGTAGACCAGGATGGCCTGGAACTCACAGAAATCCACCTGCCTCTGCCTCCCAGGTGCTGGGATTAAAGGCGTGCGCCACCACCTGGAAACTATTTTTGAGAAATGAATCTACAGTATCTGTCTGAAATATGTGTACACGCTGAGATGGCTGAATGGCAGATAACTTACCCAGCCCCGGGGTCATGTCCCAGCACAGCAAACACAAGGCAAAACAGCAGCCCAAGTACTGGGTTATGGAGGCAGCATTGTTTGTTTTGTTATAGTGGTGGCTGAGGGAGCGCGGGTCCTTGCCCTTGGCAAGTGAGGTAAGCAGGAGTCACTGAAATCCACACAACCAGTCCTCAAGGAAGTAGGATTTTTATTAGACTGTGGCTGTCTAGTCCTGTGTGTGTGTGTACGCTGTTTCAGTTCCCAGAACCTGTAACTCCAGTTCCAGGAGATCTTATTTCCTCGTCTGGCTTTCCCGGGGCACAGGGCCATCCTGCCCTAGATATAGTTTGGTGGTAACCGACCTCAGTGGCTCCCAGGAATGCAGAGAGGGAATGTTTGCGTCTTTGGCCAGCAGAAAGGGCCTCGGCTTTCCACGGAGCTAGTCTGAGAACTCTCGCAGGCTCTTTTCTGTGAGCTTCCATGCTGACATGTCTGGGGCTATGCGCAAACTACACGCCACTGCTGGTTAAAAGGAGAGGTGGCTGGTGCCTGTGGGCCAGAGACTCGAGACTTCGGAGAGAGGGTCACTGAGCTCAAGAATTAGAGCCCAGCCGTGTGGTGATACATTGTTTATGATTTAATAAAGCTTGCCTGGGGATCAGAATGCAAAGCCAGCCACAGCCATAGAGGCTGGGCAGTGGTGGCACACACCTTTAATCCCAGGACTCAGGAGACAGGCAGATGGATCTCTGTGAGTTCAAGGCCACCTAGGGCTACACCAGAGTGAACCAGTCTAAAAGAGAAACAGAGGTCAGGCCTTTAATCCCAGCACTAGAGAGGTGTGTAAGACAGGAGCTGGTCTCAAAGCTGGCCTTCAGTCTTGGGCAATCAGTCTCCAGCCTCGGTGAGGGCAGGTCACTGCAGCCTAGGTAGAGGTGAGGGCTCTCTGGTGGCTTGGATGCTTTGCTTCTCTGATCTTCATCTTAAATCCCAGTATCTGTCTCTGGGTTTATATTATTTGTACTACACAGCCTAGACAATAAAGTCTGACCTCGTCAAAAAACGATACTGTAGGAGCCTGGCCACAGATCTGTCCTTGTCCTCTACAAAACAGAGAGAGAGCCTCCACCCCTCACCACAGTGGGCTTTGTAAATTAAACACAAGGAAAAGGCACAGGAAAAACCCTGATTATGATCCAGTTACAGCTAGTTATTTGTTGGGTAAAGATTAAAGCAAATGAGCTTTTTTATACTCAGGCAGACCGGAGTCTGCTTTTTCTAGAAAAACTGGTCTGTCAGGGGACTTCCCAGCTTCCTCACAGCTGGAGCCAGGGGTGAGAGACTTTGCTCTGCTTGTTGATGCAGAGGCTTTGGCCAAAACAGTGGCCTCTGTAATTTTCCACCAACACTGGGTAAAACCCACCTGCCTCTGCCACCCCCCCCCCACCAATGCTGGGATTAAAGGCCACATGCCACAACCACCCAGCTTGGGTTTACTTTTTAACTGAAGATGCACAGTTTCTCAGGCCACCTCTTTGCTCTATAACAGACACCAGGCTTACTGGGCCCCAAAGGGCTCAATGTGAGATTGAGCATAGGAAGAGCACACACAGGTGTGTCTTAGCCACATCAGGAATTGTGTTCTGCAGTCCCGTGGGGACAGGGCCTGTTAGGTCACATGAGCTGGGCTCAGAAGACCATCATTGCTTGCACACGGAGACAGCAGAGCAGAGGTGGCCTCCTGCTGGAGGCCCTGGGGTCAGAGGCATTGTGGGGGGGTGGCATTGTGTGCAGCCGTGCAGGTGTGTGTGTGTGGGGGGGTGGCGAAGTTCTGGTGTTCATGGCACAGCAGGGTAACTACTGCAAGAATTAATGCAAATTTTAAAAATAGTAGCTTTTTTTTTTTTTAGCGTTCCCAACACAAAGAAACAATGTCAGAGGTGACCTGTGTGTGTGTGATCATTACACAATGTATACATGTCCTGAAGGGTCACACTGTGTCCCACAAATATGTGTCACTATGTACCGATTTAAAAATACATATTTTTTTGAAGTAGGGTCTCTCCCCATTGTCCTGTCTATCATGGAGCTTGCTATGCAGACCATGCTGGTGTCGAACTCGGAAAGTAGAGGTCCTCTCACCTCAAAGGTGCTGGAACTTTTTAAACCGCCACCCCTGGTCCAAAAAGGTAATCTCCCAGGGCCTCGGGATGGGGCAGGTGTACCTGGCACTGTCCTGCCGTCCGGAAGCCTGAGTTTCGGGCTGGGGGTGGTCTCCAACTCCGAATCTCAGCCCTACCTTCTCTTGCCGGCATGGCATCTACACACACTAGTCCATGACGACACCGGCCTGTGACTTGGCAGTGATTTTTTACCGAGTGTGGTCTGAATGAGAGTGGCTTCCCTGGGCTCCAGTATTTGAATGTTTGGTTCCCAGCTAGCAGAGGGCTAGGGAGGGTTAGGAGGTGCGTCACCGTCACCGAGGAGCTTGGTCTTTAACGGTTGGAAAGGGCACTCTGTCCGGGTAGTCTCCATCTCTCTGCCTCCTGCTGTTGTGCGGTAAGCCCAGCAGAGGCCGCCACTTGGGTGGTTTTAAGTTGAAAACGGTATTGTTGGCCTGCAGCTGCGCAAGAAGTTTTTGCCCCAAATATGTAGGCCAGAGCCTCACAGCTTTTGTGCAAAAACCCATGTGGTGGCGGGCACACTTCAGTCACCAAGTGGGCCCTCAGAAGCAACCCTGCAGGGTTAGTGGAGAGGGACTGTCACCTGGGAACTTTTCAAGCCACATCCTGGAACCGTTGCCGTAACCTTTGCCCCTGTTTGGGCAGCCCCAACAGTGTTTCTATCATGGCGTCGGCTGTGCTAATCAGGGTCTGGGGCTGTCACACGTGCAGGGCCTGCAGATCACCCATCAGCTTCTGCTCCAGCACATTTGCCCACCATGATGGCCCGGGCTGCCCTCTGAACTGTGCTTGTGGTAGTTGCCTCGGTCATGGTGTCCTCGCAGCAACAGAAGCTTGTCACCTTCTTCCCCAGTTCTAACCGTCACACTGGCCTGTGCGCTCGTTGCTGTGGGACAGCTAGGAAGGAGACGTCCACGCCCCGCCCCTCTTCCCACCCGGTCAGGACTGTTTGGCCTCTGACACTGCAGCATGGCATCGGCGCCTGCCACAAGCCTGGCTAAACTGGGGCTCCTGGGGCGCATGGCCGAGGTCAGAGCTGTGCGCAGAAGCATTTGTTATAGTTATGCGAGCTGGTCCTGCAACTCTGTGGGGACATTCAGCAAAGAATGCTAATATCACAGGCACAATGCTACAGTCAGCATTCTCTGCTGAAATTAATAAAAAACCTGAGTCATGTTCACTTCTATTTTTTATTAAAATACTTTTCTGATTACAGAGACAACCAATAAGAATATACACAATTACATGTGTTGTAGGACGCTTGGGAATGAACAAAAGAATTGAAAGTCTCAAATGACATTTTCCAAGTACAAACCTTCAACTGTACCCAATTCTAAGTCTTTTCCCACAGAAGCTTCAGTTTTTTTGATTTATAAATCTTTGTTGAAATATGCTAATGACAATCTTATTTCCTGAAACTTTAGAAGCTATACTTTGGCCAGGTGGTGGTGGTGGTGGTGGTGGTGCACGCCTTTAATCCCAGCACTTGGGAAGCAGAGGCAGGTGGATCTCTGTGATCTACAGAGTGAGTTCTAGAACAGCCAGGGTTACACAGAGAAACCCTGTCTTGAAAAACCAAATAAAAAAAAGAAAGTTATTCTTTGGTGTGAAGACCCTTTCATAGCATCATGAGTAAAACAAACATTTTACTTGAATCCACGTTTGCTTTTGTACCATAATTATAGTTCCAGTCATAATTAGATGTCACGGGGAAGCAGCCCGCCCGTGCCTTGCTATAGGAAAGTGTGTGTGCATAGATTTAATTTAGTAATACCCCGATTCGCACCCCGGTGTTTGTTTCTTGTTGGCACTCAGGGTGGGGCCCAGGGCTGCACCCACAGTAACCATGGCGGGCTTCCACCTCCACCCTTAAATCTAGTGTTTTTTAAAACCTAGCTATAATAAAGACAACATCATTCTTTACTGAAAAAGAAACAAACCATTACAAAAATCTTCAGTGCGGAAGAATATGCTAGGATGGTGCGAATCGAGGCTACTGATTTCTGAAATGTTTAATTTCAACTAAAAAAGCATTACTCAGAAGGTTGAGTACAGAATTAGACGAAGGGGTTTTCTTTTGCTTTTCTGACTGTCTTGCTATATATCCCCAGCTGGCTTTGGCCCCGATTTCCTTGCTCTGATTCTCAAGTGGTGGGAACACAAGTGTGCACAACCCTGGCTCTGAAAACAATCTGTCAGCTGAATGCTGCCCTTTCCTCAAGGCCTTGGCAAAGCAGGAGACATATGCAAAATATAACTATAAAACTTATCTGTGGAAATCATTTCTAATGGGGAATAAAGCAATAAAGAAATAAAGCAATAAAGCAAAACAGTTAAAGCAACTGGTTTAAGAAATTGTCCACTTGCCGGGCGGAGGTGGCGTACCTTTAATCCCAGCACTCGGGGAGCAGACGCAGTGAATCTCTGTGAGTTTGAGGCCAGCCTGGTCTACAGACCCAGTTCCAGGACAGCCAAGGCTTAAAAAAAAAAAAAATCAAATTGTCCACATAGAAATGTATGGGGTAAAAAAGACATACAAAAGGTTAAGACATATTTTAACAATGTTTGTGGCCATCAGAAGCAAACATGAGGATAGCCAGCCTCATCTACATAGCAAGTTCCAGGCCAGCAGGGGTTGCATAGAGACCCTGTATCAAGATAAAACAAACAAAAACAGAAAAGTTGAGGCTTACTGCCTGAAACCACAGACGCGCTCTGCTCTGCGGTCACGGCCTGACAGCTCTCCAGAACTAGCGGACTGAGTGGGCAGCACGCGGCAGTCTGCCGCTGTCGGAGCTCAGAAAGGAGCTGAAATGTTTGCAAGGCACTTTTAAACAGAGGTACGGACGAGAGAGGGGAGGGGAAGGAGGGAGGGAGGGAGGGAGGGGACACTTTGACATTTAACAGTCAGATCCGTCCAGAAGGCTCACGTACCTTACCTTCAGTGTTCTTCAGTTATCGGAAAGAATACAGGTTTTATAACGGATAGCCATAATATCACAAATGATATTGTAAGTAGCTACTGTTCAAATAAAAATGCAAAATGTGTTTAAGAGCACTTCCTATTTTATGTACTAAAATATGTAGAGTATTCCTAAAAAGTTACTTTAATTCAAATACACACTACAGAAAATAGCAATTTTATTAAATTGAGTCTATGTATTATAAATATTTGTTTTAGGTTCATGCTTGAAGGTAAGGATTTTATTTCTATGAAGGGCATATAGTATGCCCTTTCTGCTTGTCTCTATGGAAACACTACATAAGAAACTAGATGATTCCACAGTATGCTAGGAGTGAATATATTAACAGATTTCCCCTCCTACTTTCAGAAATATAGCTCCCTAAAAGAGGACGCTTATTTAATCAGATACTAGATCCAGATGTCCAGAAACAGATGTGATGTTACGAAGTAGCGACAGTAGTGACTGCAGACATTCCCAGTTCTCGCCTGCCTGGGCACTCCTCCTCAACCCTGTGCAGGCAGGCTCTCACCAGCTGGGGGCGCTGGTTGCTCTGCTAGTGCTGAGCTGGCCCTGGTCCTGGTACAGTCACCTCTGCCACCAGCACCTCATGGGGCACCACGTGATCTACGGCCTGGCCGCTCTTCCTGGGCTTCTGTGGAGTTTCAGAGGTATGCTGCAATTCTTGGTGCAGAAGATTCGATGCCTACACATAAGGCATCAGGACTGTGGCTTAGGGAGTGGAAGACAATGTCTAAGTCACTGTCAGCAAGAGTGCTGTGGGACAGACCTCACCATGCAAGCTGTTTCAGCCTTCTAAACATGCGTGTGTGTGTGTGTGTGTGTGTGTGTGTGTGTGTGTGCCTGTGTGCGCGCACGCGCGTGCCTGTGCGCGCATCTGCATGCATGTCAGAGGTCAACTCTCGGGAGTTGGTTCTCTCCTTCTGCTCCGGGGACTGGGGACCAAACACATGTTGTCAGGTGTGGCAGCAAGCACCTTTACCCACTCAGTCAGCATACTGGCCCTACGTAAGTTTTCTGTTGTAATATAAAGTAAAATATAGTAAGTATTTGCTTTCTAAAACCAATGTAAAATGGTTTGAAATTAGGCTTTTACAGTGGCTTGAATATGAGTTGTTAGAATTATATACTATAATATTACTCCATTTATATAAAACAGATAAGCAATCCAAAGCACAGTTAGGAAAGGTGTAAGTGTCGAGACCTGGTGTCCTGGGAATGGCGGGTGTCCTGGGATTGGCGGGTGTCCTGGGATTGGCGGGTGTCCTGGGATTGGCGGTGTCCTGGGATTGGCGGGTGTCCTGGGATTGGCGGTGTCCTGGGATTGGCAGGTGTCCTGGGATTGGCGGTGTCCTGGATTGGCGGGTGTCCTGGATTGGCGGGTGTCCTGGATTGGCAGGTAAAAGCCACAACTCCTCGTAACCCCTCCTTCTCTACCCCTCTGGAAACAGAAGGCACCAGCCCTTCCGTCAGAACTCGAGATCTTCCAGGACTCCTCTGACCCTACTCTCCTAGGACTTGAGTTCTACTCTAGCCAATGGAAAAGACATACACCAACAGGCACCAAACATAGAAAGCACAGTTCTAATAGTATACGCTAATGTGTCCTTAGCACACTGGCCTCAAGACTTCTGCACACTCCGTGACTCACTGAGTCTTTCCCATGTCCTCCTAGTGACTAAACGGCTTTGCTCTGCATTTCTTTTAAAACATACAGTTCATACACTTGACAGTTTTACTGCCATAGTCGATACACTCTGGACCGATGCACTCACAGCAGGCGTTATGAAACCAGCGGTATTTGGACGCTCCCATGGACTCACAGGATATTTTACACTGGTGTATGGACATGCAGTCGTCAAAGTAGACCACAGTGCACAAGTGCTCTGAAAAATCAAACAGACAGACACTTCAGCACAAGCAACAAGAGTTCCGCCACTCAGTGGATAATGCCAGCACTTCCTAGTTCTCTCACTGCTGATCAGCACAGGACAAAAATGGGGGGGGGGGCTTCATTTGCTAATCCTGTCGGCAGATCTCTTCACACGCAGAAGCAGACACAAAGGTTAGACTGTCTGGCTAACAGCCATCTTCGAAGCAACATGGCTGCTTCCTAAACTGACATTTCTCCAGACATTCTTCTCCAGTCCAGACAAGACTGAAAAATACTGTCCGGAGGTCATACTGAGAATTTGTACTGAAGCAAGTAATCCAAATGATGCGAAGGGGTCAACATGTTAGCAAGCAGACGTCACTAGAGAGGTTGCCACAGGATGGCCACGTTTTTAACTTGGCAGCTGTTAATCCCACGTGGCTGCTTAGCTAACATATAACAAAACAAACCAAAGACAATAAGAGTCATCAACAGGGAGTCCACCAGCAAAGGCTCAGGGATTTTGTTTTGTTTGCTCCCCCACCCCGGGGGGGGGGGGGGGAGGAGCATGCTGTTGCTGCCCTGGAGACAGTCTCTCGCTTATGCAGCCAAGACTGGTCAAGAAAGCCCTGTTGCTTCCGGGCACTGAAGGGTGAGCCTTGGCTATGAGCAGAGTGTCCTTGGGAACATGGCAAAGGCCTAGGCACAGTGGCACACACATGCTATCCCAATGTGTGGGGGCTGCAGCAGGAGATCATGAGTTCAAGACTAACCAGGACCACAGAGTGAATTCAAATACGCATCAAACTGTGTCAAAGAAAGGGGAAACCCAGTGGGTGGTTGGTGGGTAAAGGACTTGTCATGCGAGCCGGTTGGACCCCTAGACCCCCCCCTTCGTCCCAGAAGGGCTGTGGCTCACATGCACAGTAACAACAGTCCTTGCTTTTCAGAGGTGAGGGACCCTGGGAAGCGGACGGACTGGCAGGGACAAGTCCTTGGGACACTCAAGTCACCAAGGGCCTACTAAATTCATTTCATCTAACGTCACTCCATGTGTGTTTACTGAACACCCACCATGGACTAGCCATTGCAGACTCCCGTGATCAGAGTCCAGAGAGCTAGGTAAGAAAGTAGACCTATCACTAAAGACAGACTGACAGTTGAGAGTCTACCCTGTAAATACCAGGAGAGGGAGAGGCGCCAAGGAAACACTTTATGTTTTTCCTTCAGAAACTGGCTTCAGTCTACACTGTCATGACTTAAGTAGCCCCTGAGCAGATCTTATGAGTAATACATGTCTATGACATTACACTTCCATATAAGGAAAAAGCAGCAAGTGGTTAGCAACACTTTCTACACACTTCCAATCTTTCCCAAAGTCTAGCATTTGATTTATAAAGCAACTTAATCTGAAAGGAGGTAAGAATTCATACTGTCATTTAACAAAACCATTTTGCTTTTATCATTAATGCACAAAGTTCCATTTTTTATTGGTCTCATTATAATGGAAGGCATAATAAATAGCCACATTAAAAAAGGACTTCAAATGATAGTGTCTACACACAAGTCATCTAATGCTTTAAGATTCAGCTGCAAGCCAGATGTGGTTGTGTCCAGCTGTGTCCCAGAGGGAGGATTGCCACAAGTTCAAGACCAGCCTGGTCTACATCTCAGACCCTATCTCAAACTGAAACAAAAGCCACATCAATTGTATCTTTATAAATGCCTTATTCTTCTTCTGTAAATTATACTGAACACATTGGAGACTATCATAGTTACAAGCTCTCTATACTTCACAATTATGACCTGATCTACTCTTATCAGTAAATGTCCTTTGCTGTGATTCTCAGACAGTGGACAACAATCATCATGTCCACAGAGAATGGGATAGTTTACACCCGGAAGTCAGATGTCCGTAATACCAATCTGTCCATAACACTTTAATTGATGGGCAGCAAGAAGGTAAAACCTGTCCTGTATAAACCCCACCGGATTTACTCCCAGAGTCCATAGCTGGGGGAGGGGATAGGACTGAGCCCTCAAAGTCCACAAGTGTGTGTGCAATGATGTGTGCATCCACACTCAGAAGCACACACAGACACAGTAACAAAACAAAAATAAATTAGTTGATGACCTTGGCATCATTTGCAAACATCTAACTTAGGAGGAGTCCTGACACTCACCCGACACCATGCACAGTCTGACCCACATAAATCGTAGCACTAGGAAGACACACACCTTCCAGCACCTTCCAGCACAGCCCCCGAGCTGGAGTGTCCCCCCATTCACACAAATCCAAACTTAGAAGCTGCTCGGAAAGGCGGCCTGACATAGACGTCAGGCACCACACAGTGCAGCAGGTACCTTTGTCGCTGGGATAAGGGGCGTGGACATTGTTGCTGGGAACAGACACATTTTGGTGGTGCGGCTGGTTCACAGTTTCCAAAAAGGAAACGAGGTTTTCGTGGTGGGACAACTCCTCTGCCACTGGGAAGGAGACGATGTTCCAGTTCAGGTGTGTGTCTCCCTCAGTGAGGGCTCTGAACAGGGAAGGGATGGGCTCGTGCAGCTCCTCCACAGTGCTCTTTGAAGTGGGAGGGGTGTCGCTGTAATTCCGAGGGTTACACATCCCTGGGGAAACACAGGGAATAAAAATTTATTTCCTCGCGGATTATAACACTCAGCGTTTTGCTAGTCCCCTGGAATGAAGGCTCTGTATGTTAACCTGTGGTTTCCAGCACAACGACCGCGTGTTTTCCAGACTTTCTATCCCTAGAAAGGGCAAAAAATAGTGAGAACCACTCACTGAGCAAATCAAGGTTGCAAACTACCCACTACTCACAGGGTTCTGGAGTGTGACTCCAGGGCTTTGGTAGCACAAATACAGTCAGCCAGGAACGCCCATGCACATCATGCACACATGCCGTGTGCATGCGTGTATGTGCGTGCGCGCGCGCGTGTGCCCGTGAGCGTGTGAGTGTGTGAGACATGGAAGGCAATGCAATGACACAGAACATCAACTTTCACTGACTCAATAAACAGTGTGAGCATGAAAACTGGGTACCAGGGCTTGGGATACAGCTCAGTTGCTAAAATGCTATCAAGCCCTCAGTTCAATCCCCTGCACTGTGTAACCAGGTGTGCACACCTGCAATTCCTGGTGGGTCTCGTCCATAGCAGGACACAGAATGAGCAGGAAGTGAGACTTCTCCAGCAGCGTCCCCTCCTAAAGTCCCAACAGCACCATCAGCTGGGGACCAAGCATTTCAACACATGAGCAACGGGGACGGTTCACACCCAAGAAGGGACAGTTTGCACTCAAGTCATAACAAGGACGACCGTGAACTGCCAAGGCTCCTCCCTCTGTCCCGAGTGCTGAGAACACAGGTGTGTGACAGCAGCTGGAGTATGTGCTGCTGACGGTCAAGCCTAGGGCCTGGTGGACACCAGGTGGACACTCCCTGCATACCACACTTTAAAAACAAAATTTTCGTTTAATATTGATTAGGTCTAATACTGACTTTCATGCATGCCTTCCCTGGAATAAAAGTTTGAAAAGTTAAGCCAAAATTTATAAATTCTCAAATTTTATAAATTCAGAGAGGAGAAAACTATCTCTTCTGTTTTTTACATTTTGTTTGGCGAGAGCAGAGTAGAATAACGCGTGTTTATCTCATACAATGTAAGAAATGTGAACCTCAGAATTAAACTGTACGGACACTTTACTCGGAAGGGACGTCTTGTCTCCCATCCCACAAGCCCTGAGCAGGCCATCCACAGTCAGGACTGTCAGCTTTCACATTGTAGGTTCCAACAACCCCGCGCTACAGCAGCCCCGGCACGCAAGGCACGCACGCCCAACCTGTGATGAAATGTAAATGCCTGAGATCAAAGATCAGACTTAAAACTCCAGGACTTACTATCAGAAAGGTCATTATAAAAATTCAGTTTTGTGCATTTAACCAACTTTGGACAAAAGGCTTTTCCGTTAATAAGTAATGCACTGAAACAAATACACGAGAGGAACCTCTTACCGAGGACAGAGCTGCCTCTTGGAAACACTATGAAGGAACAGAGCTGGGGGATAAAGGATGGATTTTATTTTGAAAAGAAAAAGAGATTGACCAGGACCCACAGCGGTGACAACTAAAAGGCACAGAACAGAGACCCTGGGGACAGCAGGGGACCTGGGGGGGGACAGCAGGGGACCTGGGGGGGGAGAACAGGGGACCTGGGGGGGGACAGCAGGGGACCTGGGGGGGAGAGCAGGGGACCTGGGGGGGACAGCAGGGGACCTGGGGGGGGACAGCAGGGGACCTGGGGGGGGAGAACAGGGGACCTGGGGGGGAGAGCAGGGGACCTGGGGGGGGAGAGCAGGGGACCTGGGGGGAGAGCAGGGGATGGGGGGGAGAGCAGGGGACCTGGGGGGGAGAGCAGGGGACCTGGGGGGGAGAACAGGGGACCTGGGGGGGAGAACAGGGGACCTGGGGGGGAGAACAGGGGACCTGGGGGGGGAGAGCAGGGGACCTGGGGGGGGAGAGCAGGGGACCTGGGGGGGGAGAGCAGGGGACCTGGGGGGACAGCAGGGGACCTGGGGGGACAGCAGGGGACCTGGGGGGGAGAGCAGGGGACCTGGGGGGGAGAGCAGGGGACCTGGGGGGGGAGAGCAGGGGATGGGGGGGAGAACAGGGGACCTGGGGGGGAGAGCAGGGGACCTGGGGGGGGACAGCAGGGGACCTGGGGGGGGAGCAGGGGACCTGGGGGGGGAGCAGGGGACCTGGGGGGGACAGCAGGGGACCTGGGGGGACAGCAGGGGACCTGGGGGGGGGACAGCAGGGGACCTGGGGGGGGACAGCAGGGGACCTGGGGGGGACAGCAGGGGACCTGGGGGGGGAGCAGTGCAGGGCAGCACTTGGGGGGCACAGAGGCCCTGCAAAGCCGGTCTGCCACAGCTCACCGCTGCCACAGCAAATGACAAAGAATCTAAAAGTCCATTTCCCAAACCGATCAGGGACCCTGAGGAGGAATCTGTGAGTGGAGTAAGGAAGTCACAGGCCAGGGTCAAAGCAGTGCCTCAGAGTGGCAGTGCCTGCCTTCAGTGACAAATTCCGTGTGAGAATAGAGATGCTCAGAAGTTAAAACACTCCCAGCAAATACTGGAACTGAGAATCTCAGTAATTCAAATAAGAACATGAAGTAAAGCACTGTCAACAGACTACTAAATCAAACAAAAGAATGAATATTAGGGATCGTGGTCAAGGATAGCAAAATGCCACGCCAGGCACCAGAGTATCACTAAAGAAAGCATACTGCTTACCACTCCTGTGAGTGTGAGCGCGTGTGAGCGCGTGTGTGTTCTGAGACGCGGTCTACACAGTGCAGGCTTGTCCTGAACTCATCATCATCCAAACCAGCCTCACGTCTGTCTCAGTCTCCCATGGCTGGGTTACATGCCTTGCTATTGGCTGTTCAGCTCTTTATTAAACCAATCAGGTGTTTTAGCCACACATAGTAACACATAAATGAATGTAACATACTTTAAACTAACATTCCACAGAGAGAACCAGTAGGAGTTGGGAGGACGAGAGAGGATGTCAGAGGTGGTAAATTGATAGAAGTGTGTCACATGCATGTATGAAAACCTCACAACGAAACTGTTTGTTCACTTAATATTCACCAGTCTTTAGAAAGGAAAAATGGCGAGCGGGAAATTCTGTCGACACAGTCGGGTCACCAGTCCGGCAAGCCTGATGAGCTGTCTGAGGCAGGTGGACGTCTTCCTGGGAAGCACACTCCCTGCCTCCCTCTCTTCCTCCCTCTCTCCTTCCCTTCCTTTCCCATTACACTGGTTTCAAACTTGTGAAACCACAGGTTCCAACCTCAGCCTTCCGACCTGTAGGCATCACCACATTATTTTTTCCTAAAATCTTTTAGAATACTAGAAATCTCTCTGTAGACCAGGCTGTCCTTGAACTCACTGACATCCACTGGCTCTGCCTCCCAAGTGCTGGGATCAAAGGTGTGCATCACTCATTTCCAGTCTTAAAAAAACAAAAAACAAAAACCAACAACAAAACATATGTTGTTCAAAACACCCACACAGATAAAAATAAGATTAACAGCTAAAAATATTCCCCATTGACTCCTCACTCCTACACTTCCTTCCTAACCCTTTTAAAACTATTTCTGCATAATTACATAACGTAATACAATTCTCTATATACTTATCTTGTGCAGTACTGATTTACATACATGCACACTCTGTGCTGGCTGGTTTTATGTCAACCTGACACAAGCTGCACTCATCAGAGAGGGCTCCTCAATTGAGGAAGTGCCTAAATAAGATGAGGCTGCACAGTCTTAAAAACAACACAAACAAACAAAAGGATGAGGCTGCAGGCAAGCCCGTGATTGACTAGTGACTGACGTGGGGGGGGGGGCGGGCTACCGTGTGGTGTGTGGTGTCGCCCCTGGGCTGGTGGCCCGGGTTCTATAGGAAAGCAGGCTGAGCAAGCCAGGGGAAGCGAGACAGTGAGCAGCTCCCTCCAAGGCCTCTGCTTCAGCTCCTGCCTCCAGGATCCTGCCCTGACTCCCTTCCTTCCCGATGGAGCCAGATGACCCTTCCCTGCCCAGGTTGCTTTGGTCACGGAGTCCGTCATGGCCATGGCGGCCCTCTGGGATTTAAGGGGGCCGTCTGGGAACTTACCCACACAGTCACAGCACTCGTCCCACAGGGTCCCCAGACACAGCATGCATTCCCTACAGCAGGGGCAGCTCCCTTCTCCAGGCCGGCACTGACACAGCTCCTGAGAACAAGACGGAGTTTATGTGCAAATCCAAATCATTAGGTGTATCTAAAACTCTCTGAGCAAAAGAATAACCCACAGTATTTTCAGTTATAAACATTTATTCCTACCGGGGTGGTGGTGGCGCACACCTTTAATCCCAGCATTTAGGGAGGCAGAGGCAGGCAGATCTCTGTGAGTTCGAGGCCAGCGTGAGACCAGCGTGGTTTACAAAGCCACACAGAGAAACCCTGTCTCAAAAGAAACAAAAACAAAAACCAATTATTCTTGATGTACTTTTTATTCAACAACAAAAATGTTGCCATGTGACCATGGTGTGTCTTCACAGCCATAGAAACCCTAAGATGTACATAAACACTAGAACAACACACACACACACACACACACACACACACACACACACACAAACTTCTTTTTCCAAACAAAACACCAATATCCTTTTAAATTTGTTACTTTGGAATCTGGGTTCCACAGGTAGCAGACACAGAGACACACTTGTACACCAATGAGCACACACACACATAAACCCCTCCTCCCTTAAAACAAAACAAAACAAAACACCAGTATCCTTTTACAGTTGTTAGGGTCAAGAATGGTATGGTGATACAAGCCTATATAGTTCCAGCCCTCCAGAGGCTGAGCTAGGTGGATTGCAATAAGACTAGCCTGGGCTACATGGCAAGACTTGGTCTTAAAACAGATAAAAACACATGAACTAGCAAGGGCCAGTGATGTTGCTTGGTAATAAAAGCACCTGCCTAGCATGAGCAAGGTCCTAGGTTCAATCTCCAACACTGCCAACCAAAAATACTATGTAAGGGCTAAAGGTACAGCCCAGTAGTACAGTGCTCACCCAGCAGCTGCAAGATGTGACACACACATGTGCACACGCACACACACAACGTTCTATTTTTATTGATATGCTGAATCAGTGTGCTTGTCGTGGAAGATCATTTACAAAGAGTGTAACAAATATTTCCCTCTTTGGACTGTATCTTCACGATCACTCCAATTGTGGGGCAGAGGCTTTAAATGGAATCGATCATCTGGGTTGGGAGGTGGACTAAGACGCAGCTGCTTGTGATGCGGTGAACGAGAAAAGCCAGGATAACAGAGAACGGGCACCTTCAAACAACAGAGACTGAAAGAGCATCAGCTGAGGCGTACAGAAGCTGAAGAGCAGCTCGGAAGAAAGCAGCCACAGCTCCAGCCTTGGCCATCTCATGAGGAAGGGACACCAGAGCCTTCCCAAGAGGCCGGCCAATTGCCCCATAAAAGACTACGGACTCAACCCAAGGACAAGCCTCGGATCCATCGGGGGTTTTCATGGCGATCTCTGACTAGCCCATTTAGTTGACTTATGCCGGATGAGCTAACACACACACGCTTGAACCTCATGGACTCTAGCATTCTGTATCCCGAGCCCAAGGCTGAAGCTCTGCTGTGCAGACATCAGGAGGCCCTACCAGGCCTGCCAGAGTGACGCAGCTCACTCGAGTAGAGCGCAGGCTTGGCCTGTGAAGCTGTCCTAGTGCCTCAAAAGGGAAACAGAGCAGAACCAACAGAGAAACCAACACAACATAAAAACAGAATGCAGTGAGAGCAAGCCTACTAGGAAAACAGGGGTATAAAGCTTGCTAACTTTCATGCCCTGTCCTTGGAGCAAGAGAACACTCTCTGAGCATGCACGCGCACACGCATGCACACACACACGCACACACACACACGCACTCACACACACACGCACACACACACACGATGTCTCCTGACCTGTATGGGCTCCTGCACTCACACACACACACACGCACTCACACACGCACACACACACACACGCGTGCACTCACACACACACTCACACACACGCACACACGGTGTCTCCTGACCTGTATGGGCTCCTGCACTCACACACACACACACACACACTCACACACACACACACGCGCACTCACACACACGCACACACGGTGTCTCCTGACCTGTATGGGCTCCTGCACTCACACACACACACACACACACTCACACACACACACACGCGCACTCACACACACGCACACACGGTGTCTCCTGACCTGTATGGGCTCCTGCACTCACACACACACACACACACACACACACACACACGCGCACTCACACACACACTCACACACACGCACACACAGTGTCTCCTGACCTGTATGGGCTCCTGCACTCACACACACACACACACGCGCACTCACACACACACTCACACACACGCACACACGGTGTCTCCTGACCTGTATGGGCTCCTGCACTCACACACACACACACACACACACTCACACACACACACACGCGCACTCACACACACACTCACACACACGCACACACGGTGTCTCCTGACCTGTATGGGCTCCTGCACTCACACACACACACACACACACACTCACACACACGCGCACTCACACACACACTCACACACACGCACACACGGTGTCTCCTGACCTGTATGGGCTCCTGCACTCACACACACACACACACACACTCACACACACACACACGCGCACTCACACACACACTCACACACACGCACACACGGTGTCTCCTGACCTGTATGGGCTCCTGCACTCACACACACACACACACACTCACGCACTCACACACACACTCACACACACGCACACACGGTGTCTCCTGACCTGTATGGGCTCCTGCACTCACACGGTACACAGATATACACGTAGGCACATAAACATAAATACAAAAAAATACATGGTGGCTTTGGCACAGCTTACAAATGACAGCTTACATTGCATGAATCTGCATATGTTGTGCTACATACTGCCTCCCATTAGAGGAATTGTGGCACGTGTGCCCCGACCCGCAGGGCAGTCAACGACAAACCGGGAAACACCTAGGGGAATCGAAGGACAAGGCATACAAAAAGGATGGCAGCAGACAGGACTCTGATCAGGCTGCCCAACTTTATTTTCCCAGGGGAGGCTTGTATAGGGCCATGGGCAGGATGTGAGCAGGGTTTGCAAGTGGGCAGGGTGAAAGGCTCAGAAGGAAGCCCTGAACTCATCCTAACTGGCTGTAAAACTGCAGCAGGAGGAATATCCTGGGCTATTCTTTAACTGGCTGTAAAACCACAAGCCTGTATCTAGGAATGCTCTGCTGAACGTTCTGCTTACTTCTTAAGAGGCAGTGATTTTCTGCCTCAGAGGCCTGAGGTAGTGAGGATGGTGATGGTCCCCAGCATCTCCCCCTCTCTGGTATAATAATAGAGAGGAGCGGCCAAGATGTTTCTCCTCCAAGAGTCACTTAGGGCTCATGGCTGCCTGTCTTAGGATCATTCTGAGTGGCTCTCACCGTACTCTGTCTCTGGATATCTTTCCCAGACATCACAGTCTTGGGGGGGTGGAGCATCAGAAAGGTGCCCGTGTTTGGCGAGCCACCACTGGGAGGGGGGGGCCTCTCGAGGTCCCCAGCTGGGGCTGCTCAAGGGTCTTGGTCCGAAGGCTGTTTTGACCCAGGAGGAGGAATGGTGCTTGTTTAAGCTAAGTGGGAACTGGGAGCGTCAGGTGAGTGTCGCCTTCCCCATCGTCACCTACACCAGGCTCTGCTGGTGGATTTGAATTGGCTTTGTGGCAAGGCCATCTACCTGATGCTTGATAAGGTCTGTCAAACACCTAAAGGCCCATGGGCCAAAAGACAAAAGCAATATGGGACCCACAGAGGGGCCAGAAGACTGGGCAATAAAGTGGGTCACAAGGGGGGGAGAGCCGGTTCTTTACCAGCTTTCTTGTTGCCCCCCCCCCAACCCTTCTCCAACCTTCCTCATCCTGTCCTTTACTACTCCTGCCTTGCTGGTATAAAAGCAGCACAGAGGCCTCCCTGCTGCAAGAACAGGAGATCCAGTCCCTTCCTAATCTGGAGGACAGCTTCGGCCAGGGAATCGAGGGAGCCTGCGAGGTCGTCTATCCCCTTCTGAAGTCTGGACATCTTCATCGAGCACAGTTCAGGATACTTGTTGCTGGATAGGACAAGGGAGGAAATGCCTGTCCCGGCTCCAGCGGCACCAAGGCCCAGGAGGAGAGAGATGGTGAGGGCGGAAATCTCTCTCTGTGCTGCCTAGGGAGGGGAGAGCCGACCCTTTCCTCCCATAAGGGAAGGAAGTCATTGGGGTGGTAGTAAAGCAGGCGAGGCAAAAGCTATCAAAGGCAGCCGTGGCCAGGCAGGGTAAATGCCTACCAAGCATTGTTGGGAGGGAATGTAAGTGTGAGTTAAGTCGGGAGGCATGTATGTGTCTGGACACGTGTATACATGCGTGTGGAAGCATAAGGGTGACTTCAAGTCAAGGAAGAATCTCTTGCCAGGCCACAGCTCATGGTCTTGCTCATCTGACTAGTCACACTGGGACTGAGGGCAAGCCACCACACCCACTGAGGACCGGGGACTGGAACATCAGTCCTCATGCTCACAGGTAAGGGCTTAACTCACCCATCTCTCTCTCCATCCCTCCAACGCATGTCTAACAAAATAATGATTACAGGAAACTCTGCTATAAAAAAAATGCAATACACTCTTATCAAGACCCGTTAAATATCTTGCATGGCTCATCTTTGTGCCAAACCACAGAAGCCAGCGCTTACTCTCTTCTTCACCCCTTCTACCCCTTGTCAACGCCCTCGGTACTTTACTCTCCCCATTGCTGTTTGGACAGGGTGTACTGTATGAGGCTGCCCTGAGTGACAGGGTTGCAGATATTTCCCATGAGGCCTTGTTCCTTGTTGCCTGCTTCAAAAACTGCCTCAGCCCACTTTTAAAACATAAATGTAATTGAAAATCCTCCACCTGCTCAACAGAAAGAAATGATGGAGTTAAAATGTGGAATTTTCTTTGAGCTGGGTTATTTATATATTTCACCAACCTTACTATGAATAGACTTGAGTACACTGCTTAGTCAAATGGAACACGTGACCAAATCAGAGACGGCATTCACAGAAGCCCAAAGTGGAAAGTGACTCAACGCCTCCGAT